TTCTTCCATGTCATTGGTTTGTTGAGGAACTTAGTTGCTGAAGAGTAAGTTTCACATTACAAACCAAATCTGATTGGTTGACACAATGACTTATATCCCAAAGAACTAATTAAAAATGTATTTGAGATCTGATTGGTTCATTCAGGAACTAAGATACCTAAAAATTTCAAGTACACATTAAAATGGTGAAGTACTTATTTAAATGGGGAGGTGTTTTATAAAATATATATAATTTGGGGATAATGGTAACCCAGAGATTCTAAAAGTCATTCTTGATCGAGGAGCTCACAATGCATAGCAAATCAATATCAGAAATTCTTACCCTACTACTAAAGTTCTAGATGCTATCTTAGGAAAACTATTTTTCAAGATTAACTTCCAGCTGCTATGAAGAAGAACATAAGAAATTCCGAGGCTAGTTTCTTGAAAGTTCCAGTAACTTAATGGGCCAAAGCCATATTTGAATATCAAAATTTAAAGAATAGAGGAGCAGGTTCTGACACCCTAACCAATCAATTTTGTGTCTTTAGCTGAAAATTCTATTGTAAAATTACCAAAAATTTTGAAACCCACATCTAAAATGAAGATAGAACACTTTAAGGGCCCACTAAGTTACCTGGAAATTTGAGAAACAGGCTTCAGGACTATTAATTATTTTGGAGCCACCTTAAAAAAATTTGTATAGGAAAATGTGAAGATGAGTTGAAGTCTGAAAAAAGATTAGAACTACCTCTAGAGGCTGTTCATCTTCCAGCTGCTCAACAGCTTGTATGATAATTTTATCTTTGCCACAATCAGCATTCCATTTACTCCATGTATAAGCAAATGCTGATGCTGTCAATGCCATTTCCTGGTAAATGTTGTTCTCCAGCCAATCCTCCTATAATTGAAGGATGTTTCATGCTTTTAAACACAGAACTACCTGCACATTAAAAGATACAGCTTTTGTGTCCTCAGTGCAACCATGGCTTTTATCCTCTTTTGAATCCACATTGCTTTTTTAAAAACATTAAAAAATAAATTCTCAGCTGCTATTTTTAAAATTAGATGTGCTGCATTAGGTTCTTACTAAAGAATGTGCCCCCTTTTTTTTTTGGCAAAACAGAGTGCCTGCATCTCATCTATCAAATGCCATGAATAAGTAAAAAAAAAAAATGCTGGATGTTGCAATAAGTAAAAAATTCTTCTGCAGGGAAGAGCTTTTACTACAGCACTTTTCTGACACCAGAAGTAATTATCCACAACATATAGGTACCTTGGAATTTAAGCTGACATACTTCTCTGCATCAACCGCAGGAAAGACATTCACTCCTGCCTTTTGCATGGCCTGTATACAGATTTGGTCAGTCCAATAATCTAGAGCTCTTTCAAACAATTAATTAACACAACATTCACTGGACAGTGACTGAAGCAGAGGGATGTGGGTAGAGGGAAATTCCCCAAGAAATTGGGAACTTGATGGGAATTAGTATGGGAGCTGAAGAGTACAGAATATTAAGTTTCAAGCCGTAAAGAGGATTGTTAAACAACACTAGATGTAATGTAAGTTAGGAATCCCAAGGTTTATGGTACCTGTCATACTCTCTTCATTCTATACTTAAAGTAATGTATCACATTGTTGCTATGGTTCTAATAAAAAATACCTCAATCAACTTATGTGGCTTCATCCACTTTCCCTTCAAATGAGAAAGCTCTGAGACATCATTCGGCTGGGTCAGTGAACACAAAGAATCCTGAAAAAAATTGAAAGCAGTTCAAATTGAAATAAATAAACTAGCTTCACAGTCAGGGATGAAATCCTAAAAATATTCTGGGCCTGATGAACACCTTGTGTTTTAAATCAAAATTAAAAGATTTACAACAGATTGAGGCAGAGACTATTGTTACTATGTTGGTACCATTTTTCTTTTCTTTAAAAATACCTGTTACTAGTATGTGCTAACCTTAATTTCAATTTCCAGTTCAATGATGGCAGCAATGAGTGTAAACAGGCAACTGTTTGTGGCATGAGGACGTAGCTCCCATGACTGAAATGGCATGTTCAGATAAAGATCCTGTAAAAATAACAAAAATAGAACATAATCATCACAAATTTATAAGGTAGAGAATTTTGGATATCAATAAAGAGTGTACAAATTATTCAGTCTTTATTTAAATCTTCCTCATGAAAATCAAGAAACTTTTTCTCTTTTTTCTTATTTGAAATCTAGTTGAGGAAATTTGCTCTGACTAATGAACTTACAAAAAAGAACCATCTAAGCCTATATGCTGAAACTACTCCTAAAAATGATCATTCACAAATTTAATCATACCTGAAAAGTAGCAATGGGCCCAAAGGTAGACATCTTGAATACGACTGTTCTTTCCTCTGTCAAAATATAAAGATGATACACGAACATCCTAAGTTTTTCTTTGCAAGCCTCATTGACCCACAGTCCAGTAGCTTAGCTCTCTTTCATTCTTGCATTTGTTCAATTTTTTTTCTCTAGGACTTTACATAATATTACCCTGGTTGTTAATGACTTGTAGATTTGTGTATATTTCTTTTATTCTTTTATTATTATAAATTCAAAAGTGACTGCTGTGAATCCACTTCTGCCAGTTGTTACTGGTACTTAATTAAACCAGTATTGACTCATTACCCTAGAGTGTTGTCGTCAAAAATGAATAATTATAGAGGGCAAGTTTATGTTATTATAATGTTTGTATCATCATTGCAAACCTTCATTATATTGGGAGTCTGCAAATGCATCAAGCCTCCAGTTGTTCTTCATGGAGTCCCACAGTGCCAGCTGAGGTTGCTCAAAATACATAACATCTCCTGGAAGCCTAACACATAGGAAAAGTACAAAACACCTATTTACTCCAGCCAATGTTACCCTCTTCTACACTGCCGAAGGGGAGTAAGGAGCCTTTTTGGTTATGACATAAACTGGAAGTTCATACAGAAGTACTGTCAAACTCACTTGCAGGTGATCATCACTGGAGGGTTGGTTGCTTGCAGCTGTGTGGCCGATGCAGAGTTTGGTGGAGCAGGGGTACTTGTTGTCGAGTTTGTATCTGCTGGAGTCTGCCCTTCAACTTGATAATTGACTCTTTTGAGTTCTGATGATACAACTAACACGACAAAAGGCACAAGATTTTCTAACTTTGTAAACTACTAAGAGAAATGCAATACACCTCAAGCTGCACTTCAGTAACTTTGATTTTGAAGACAATAATTTGTGTTAGGGACTATCACTTCTATCTAAAATACAAGTAAGTAGGGATGGAGAGTTGGCCTACATACACTGTGTATTTTCTTGGTTAAAATTTAATTAACTACGCAATAGAGAAATACTTGTAAGAGCCCTTACTCTGCTGCATAATCCACCCATTCGCAAGTTTTGGCTGTGGTGGAAGATCTAACAGTTCAATAATCATGACAGGGCCAATGGCACTGAATGCTCTTAGGTCTACAACATCATCATCTTCTTCCTCTTCTTCCTCTATTCCACCTTCCAAACCTGCCCCGGCAGCCTCATCCAATGTTTGATCAGTAGAAGCACGATTTTCTTCCCCTCCTTCACCTAACAAGAAAATCATGTAATACATAAAATTTTCATTCAACAAATACCTCACTGCACTTAGTTAGAACCCCTCACAACTAAGCATTGAACTAAGTCTTGTAAATGCAAAAAAAATTAAATTAACAGTACAGAAGTGCTTTCTAAAATAATACGGTATATAATGAGTTGTGGAAACAAAATGTATATCATACCATCTTGCTCTCCCTCTTTAGTTTCACCCTCTTTGTCCTGCTGAGTCTCATTTTCACTGACCTGACTTCTTACACTCTTTGCACTAGCTTTACGACTTCGACTGCTTTTACCACTGCTGGCTCTTCCACTCTGTCAAACACATACAGAAATCACAAACAATAAAGATTATTTCACTTTACCTCCATCAAAATACTAAGAAATCAAAGACAGTAAGAGAACCACTATTCACACCTTATTTTACATAATTTTGAGTTTCGTTTAATATATTTAGCAAAGGCTGATTTTTCATATAAGCTGACTAAATCCATTCAATGGATATCTGAGGGGATGTAATTATATATGAAAAAATAGTGAACCTCATTAGTTATAAGATCTCACAACACCTAACTAATTTTAAATAATATGTAATAACTTTTTGCTGAAGCAGTTTTAAATTCATGTTGAACTGACCTAGGCTGTCATTAACAAATAAAAACATAGTGTAACCTCAAGACTTCACAGTTGATTGAAATGTAATGGTTATCTTTAATTTTTTGCTCACCTTTTTCCTACTTGCTTTACTAGATCGGCTCGCTTGTGATGCAGATTTAGGTGGCATGGCCTCAAGTGTGTCATCTACTCCTTCCTTATCTGCTCCTTCATTCCCTTCACCAGCCTGTTGCATCACAAATAATGCAATTAGAACAAAGGACATACTGTCCTGTACTGTGATTTAAAACATTCAACATAATGTAACCTAGTGTTCACCCCAACATCAGTATGCATATTCTCCAAACTGTCCCCTTGACATTTCCTAAGGTGCTGATAAGAAGAATTTGCTCAATGATCAAGAGCTTCTTAATTTGTTGATCATTTCCTTTATTCTTGTGACCTTAATGTTGGATCCTGGGGTGATATTGTAAAGAGAAATTGGAAGCTAGTCAGGGGCTATAGGGTCAAGGAATGATTGGTCAGTTATAATCAGAATACTGAATATAAAACTTCATTGATAATTAGTTGGATCTTTGGTTTAAATCTGAAACCTTGCTTTTAGACTTAGTTATAGCTAAAATCATTTTATTAAAACTGTCCAAAACAAAACAAAACAAAACAAAAAAAAGAACATCACCCCTTCTCCATCAGCTTCTTCTGCAGGAACAACCTCATCTACGACAACTTCTGGAGGCTTAACCTTTAGCTTTGGATGGAAAGATTTGGACAATGGTGATAGATGATCATACTTAGTGTACATGACACGAACAGCCATACTGCCAATGGAAATAACTCTTGGAATGTCCATTGTAAATCCCATCTTCTCAAATGAAAATGACTTCACTCTGGAGCAAAATAAAGCAAATAATATATATATATATCTTATCAGTATTAACTATTTATCACTAGAAACTTTGCACATGATTACTGGGTAGAAAATAGATAGTTTACCATAATTGCTCATTCTGTAATCAGTTATAAGTATTAAGTAAAATAATAAATTAACACAATAATCAAATGATCAGACTGTTGGAAAAAATATATAAAGGCTTACAAGTTTTGGTCTAATACAAAAAAAAAAAAAATGCACCAAACCTTGGATTCTTGGCTATGTTTCCCCAGACACAAACCGTTATGTTTTCTGATGCACTCATATACTGTAAATTTTGAGTATCAGGATCTACATCATCAGAAGCATTCTAGGATAGATCATATTGTTACTGTTGAGTTAGTGGACATAAACTGTGTAGAATTTTATAGTTAATAATTATCAGAATGTTTACATGTGGTTTTATTTACTCTTGTGATGAGTGGTTCAGAACACTCCTTCTCAGTTCCTATAAAACTTACAAACGTTCCACCTGTCAACTTTTTGTATCTGTAAGACACTTCTCTTAATTAAGGACAAAACATTTCTTTGTTTGCTAATCTTAATTTTCTGAATTCTCATTACCTGTCTCTTTGATGGTCTAATTAAATAGCAAAAGGAATTTTAAGGCTGATCATTTCTAAAAGACACAGCTGCTGTAATTAGTCACCTGCAGAAGATTCATGGTTGCCTCATCCAACTTATAGCTTATCAATTCTTGAAGTTTAATCACTGACTGTAAAAGAGTACAATTTATACCATCATCAAATATTGGAAGCTAAATATCTTGAGCACAGTAAAGAAAAAAGGAAACATATCTACTAGCCTTGTTTTCAGACAGTCCAGGTCACTTATATTTACATGCACCTCTCTCTTATCAGAAGGAAAAGGAAAAGTTTGTGTCCATGCAGGACCTACTGTCCACCTTCTTCTAAGAAATTCAATATTGGCTGTTTATCTGCTAATCTGGTGTTACTAATTTCTAAGTGAGAGCTATGGAATAGTAACCTTAACAGCTGAAATGTATAGTTGTGTCAACACTTTGTGGAATTCTTCAGGAACTATCTCCTTCAGGAGTCTGACTATAATCAGGTTATCAACAAAACACACATATTATTCAGTCCACCTTGTTGGCAGGTACACTTTGACACTCTGTGCATCTTTAGCCCCTTGGCCACTCCTTGATCACAGACAATCATGAACAAGTATGTATAGTCTATATGACTTTGTTTATATTTAATGAATTGTAATGATAATACAATACTGAAAGTAAAATGATATCAAAAACAGTATCAACCTGTTTAAGCCTTTGAACATCATCCTCTGTAAAACCCTCATCTTCTGAATTTGATAGAAAACCCTCAAGTTCTTCTATAAGCTGTAAAATAATGATATGTATCCATTTAATTTTCTTATAAACTTTTTTCAGCAAACTGATCAGTGCTGATAAATCATTGAGAACAACTGGCTAACAGTTTCTTCTCCTGAGTAAT